CCCAGAAAGGGGTCTTGGCACGGCTGAAGAAACCCCAGCTGCTCCTCCCTCCCCCAGATCATTAGATGTGTGAGCTCCCCGAGATGAGGTCTCAGGGGGCCGCAGAAAGGCAGAGAGGACCCCACGTCCCCAAGTGCTGAGACCCCAACGCCTTCCCGGTCATCACATCCGGGAGCCCTCCCTCCACCAGCCCCTCCACCGAGCTCACACCAGCTTCAACTTGAACCACGGCAGTGAGACGTCCGCGCTCAAAAACCTGCAAGGATGTGAGGGGGAAAAAACAGCTTCAAATGCACCCGCAGAAACACCGGTAAAGGGAACAAGCAGCTTTTCTCACCTGTGCTCCACGACGACTTCCAAACTTTGGAGAGAATCAGCAAGGATACTATCAATGGTTTAATAAAAATCTTTGTCTATCTCCTGCCCTAGAGCTGCTTAAAAGTTGCCACTTCTTCGCAAAGAGACGTGAATGGCCTTAATTTTTTTAAGTTTCGTTTCCTGTGGCTTTTTTTCTGCTTTGCGAAACCTGAAGAAACGAAACCTGCTAAACCTCACCTTACGTCTCACTCGTCCTCTTGGGGCCTGGGCCAGCTCCTCTACTTCCTCTTTCTTTGGTTTCAACTTTGTTTTTTTCACCTTGATGAATATCTCTGTTCAGTAGAACCTGAGACACTTTTGCACCTTTCTCTGTGTGTGAGTTTCTCGGCACGTTGAGCTCCAGGAAGCCCTGCAGAGTAGCTCAGAGTAGAGCAGAAAGCTCTGCCCTTTCTTCCTCTGAAGGAAAGCAGAGCCAGGACCGAGGAAGGCCCTTTACAAACCACCCTCCTTTGCACTTGCCATCTGCCCATCTACCTGGGACAGAGATGTGCAGGGGATGTGCCCTGTCCCCGCCTCGAGGAAGGGTTTGCAGCCCCTGTTGAGTGTGGAGACAGGTTTTTATTTTAGAAGATGGAGGTTCCTAGCAAATCTTACAGCAGGCTCATGCACTCTTGCAAACGCGCCTCTTCGCTAGAGGACAAAGTGCATGCTTAGTTTAGCTAACAAATTATATGGACTTAGATTACAGCTAATGGGTGCAGAAAAGGTGCTGGGGCAGAGCTGTTGTGCTTTTGGGACCCATGCAGGTGTTTTTCCCACCACGTTCAGCTCACGTGGAGCCAGGTCACACATTAAGCCGTTGCACATGCTGGGTACCTTCGTAACAACATGATCCTCAACAGCCAGTCATTTCTGTTGCACTTCAGCCAAGCAAGAGAAATGGAGACATGCTGACTGGCAGGAGAATGGACAGAACCTCCTGGGTGGAGCAAAAGCAGGAAGAAACTCTTGCTTCTGGCTTATGGAAGCTGCAGAAACAAAATTAGGCTTTCCAAGAGAGACCACACTGGTTTTCCTGGTTTCCTGGTTTGTTATGCATCAGTCTTGACCAAAAAGGCCATAAATGTGGGGGACTGAGCAGTTGCTCAGCTGTGCTAGACAGGCTGCAGGAGCAGTTGCTCTCTGTGAGGTTTCCCATGGGCACAAAGGTCATGGTTTTCATGGAAATACCTCGCCAGCTCCTCTGTATCCTTGCCTCTCTTCTCTGTGTAGCTCGACATTCCTATTGCCTCTGCAAGTGGGAATTTATCCGACTTTCAACTACCTCGACGTCTAGGACAAGAGAGGCAAGAGGCTGTGCAGCATGGAAATTGTTCAGAAACTTGGGAGAACTCTGCCATGAAGATTCACCCAGGCTGCTTTGCCTATGAGTTTCTGGAAAACATGTGAAAAAAAAACCAAAGGGACCAAATACACATTGAATCCTGGAGTGCCTTTGGTTGGAAAGGACCTGGAAGTCAGTGGTCCAGCCTCCTGCCGCTAGCAAGACCAACATCAACATGCGATGAGGTTGTCCAGGCGAGTTTTGCAAGTCTCCAAGGATGGAGCCTACATGGACGCTTTTTCCCCTGCACCATCCTCAAGGGAAAGATGTTTTCCTCTCTTGTTTCTAGGTAGCATTTCACCTTATCTCCAGTGCTTGCAGTCCTTCCTCCCCATGCCTTTGAGGAGAGGATGGCTCTGGCTTCCCAGTAGCCCCTTTTCCTGTGCAAGAGGACTTATTTGGGCTCATCACCTTCAGCTGCTTCTCGTGGGCCATCTCTCAAACCCTGAGGTAAGAGAGTGCCTTTAGGGCCCATCTTTTTCCATTGTTATTCTCCATGACTTCATTTCACAGAGACAAAGCTCTTTGGGGTCAGGTCTACGCAAGCATGGATTCCACGAAAACAAATGCAAAAGAAGCAAGTTTATTCTGAACATTTTATTTTTTGGATTTATTATTATTATGATTTTTCTATCACTAAACTCTAGCATATAAAAGAGATATAAATCTGTCAGGGAAACTCAGAATGTATTTGGACGGGGAGCCTTTGTCCCCCCACACAGGAAGGGGCATAGAGACACAGCAGCAGCAAGCAGGGGAGTCCCCAGTGCCCATCTGAAACATGGAGCCCCCAATCCATCTCCTCCCTCTGGGATGCCCGGTGGGTTGCAAGGGAAGAGCAGGGATTGCACAAGCTTCACCATGGGATGCTCAGGGGGGAAGCAAAGATGGAGAAAGGGAGAGAGGAAGGTGCTTTGGGAGAGGAACGTGCATGGGAAAATAGGGAGAGGGAACTCAGGCAGCAGGAGAGGGCACTCTTAGGAGGCATTTGAAGTCTTCTGTAGCTCCTTACGTATCTTATCGATGGAGAGGAATTCCTCATGTAAGCCTGCAGAAAAAGAAGAGCACCTTCAAGACAACAGGCCAGGTACTGCATGGGCATGTTAGACATCTCACCACCTTGCCTGTGCCATGGAGATATGGCACAGAGCTCCCATCTGCTGTTGCAGAACAAGCTTGGTTGTCTTAAATGGTAAGCCAAGATGTTCAGGTGTTATTGGCCCTGAAGCAGGCACATTTTCAACCCATGGATCGGGTAGCTGGAGTTATCCTTGGAGCTTATAGACATGTCTGGTGCCTGCTGCGCCAGGGACACAATACCCTCCATCCCCTGGGTCCGCTGGCTCCCAGCGCGAAGACATCTCCCACCCAGCCCTGGCAACCCGGAGGGGGCTTGAACCCTACCTGTTAGCTCCCCATACTGTTCTTCCCATAGACAGAAGGCAAAGCTGAACATGTCAGAAAAGTCCTTCTCCAGCTTCTTGGTGATCTCCACCTGCAGCCATTGCATTGTTGAGCACATTAGGACATGACTCTGGGCTCCTCAGTCCCACAGAGCATCCCCGGTCCCATAGCCCCAGCCGGGCTCCTCCCTGGCCTCACTTGGTGGCACCCAGGCCATCCTGTCCCCACCCTCTCTCTGGACAATGTCCATATGGGCTGCTTGTTGTTGCTTGTTGGAAGGCAAAGCTGAACATGTCAGAAAAGTCCTTCTCCAGCTTCCCGGTGATCTCCACCTGCAGCCATTGCATTGTCGAGCACATTAGGACATGACTCCGGGCTCCTCAGCCCCACAGAGCATCCCCAGCACCATAGCCCCAGCTGGGCTCCTCCCTAGCCTCACTTGGTGGCACCCAGGCCATCCTGTACCCATCCTCTCTCTGGACCATTTCCATATGGGCTACTTGTTGTTGCTTGTTAGGTTGTGCATGAAGGAGAGGGCATTTTGCAGAGATGACTCTAGAATGGGAAGGGCTAAATATTTCTATATCCCTTTTCAAGGCCGAGCAGAGCCCCTCATGCAAAACAGTGCTGGACAGAGCTGGGTGTTGCAGGATGTGACTCTGCAGCTCCGGTCAGTGCCTTGCGCTAAGGGTGGTCAGTACTTGGTGGGAAGCCATTAAGGATTAATAACCTTAATAAGTGAAATAGTCTCACTTTAGAGTCACCCCAAGTCCTTTCCCTGTCTCTGTGCATGGGAAACAGCACAGGTGCAGTCAATATATCCCTCAGACAGTTTCCCACTTGCAGGATGTGACTCTGCAGCTCCGGTCAGTGCCTTGCATTAAAGGTGGTCACTACTTGGTGGGAAGCCATTAAGGATTAATAACGTTAATAAGTGAAATAGTCACACTTTAGAGTCATCCCAAGTCCTTTCCCTGGCTCTGTGCATGGAATACAGCACAGGTGCAATCAAAATATCCCTCAGACAGTTTCCCAGGCAGCATTTTCTAGGGTCTTTGGCCAATAGCCTTAGCATGAGGCAGTCCTTTTCAGGATGCTGTCTTCTATCCTCAAAACATTATCTTCTACTATAAAGAAAGCCCTGCAGAAGAAGAAGACACGCAACTTACCTTCAGTTTCAGGAACTCCCTTTTCATTTGCTCTGTTGCTTTCTCAAACATTCCCTTTTCCACCTCACTCTTTATACCCTCGCTAATGATGTTCTGCATCCTCTGATAGGCTTGAGATCCTCGTATCTTGGCAGCCTCTGTGGTGGAGGAGGAAGAGTCACAATGATACCCAGACCCGGGACGGATGTGGGGAGAAGGGCTGGCACTCCAGTTTGGGGAAGGAGAATGGTGAAAGCCACTTTCTTCTGCACCAAGAGGCCAAG